AATAACTCCTTGATGAAGTCAATATAAAGCTCGTAGATTCATTGATCACTCTTAAATCATCAAGAAAACACTTATAAAAATAACCTTTAATATAGAAAACATTGGTAGCTCTACTCTCTTATTAGAATTTGGATTGCTTAAACCCTAAAAATAGCAAACAGCGCACTTTATAATAAATAGATTTGCAAAGACTGCTCAAGTGCACACTTCACCTGTAACGCCCCGACCCTTCACACGTCATCGATATTGTCCGCTTTGGGCCACGCCCGCACGGATTTGTTCTTCCCAGTGGGTCACCCATCCCAGAACTACTCCAGCCTAAGCACGCTTAACTGTGGAGTTTTGTTAGGGATTTCACCACCCGAGAAAAGGCCTCGATGCTATATAAGGGTACAGGTTTTTACTTTTATAGCCCAAGAACTCCCTCTCTATTCCCGATGTGGGACACCGGGGCCTTACAATCCACCCCCCATAAGGCTGCACGTCCCCGTGCAGTAGCCTGCCAGCTCGCAAGCCCACAAGCCCACCCACATGCACCGAGAGACGCTAGGGGCCCACGCTCCGTACTCCGGAGAGTCGGCTCTGATACCATTTGGGCTATAAAAGTAAAAACCTGTACCCTTATATAGCATCGAGGACTTTTCTTGGGTGGTGAAATCCCTAACAGAACTCCACAGTTAAGCGTGCTTAGGCTGGAGTAGTTCTGGGATGGGTGACCCACTGGAAGAACAAATCCGTGAGGGCGTGGCCCAAAGCGGATAATATCGATGACGTGTGAAGGGTCGGTGCGTTACATCACCGCTTGAGCGGTGTGAGTAAAATCGGCGTAAAACATATAGGCCGACCGCTCGAGCGCAACATTCACTACTTGAACGATAAAACTTGCTTTCTAGAAGTTTAGTTTGCAAGCAGAGATACTAGATGCTCCTATTCGTTGCTCGAGTGCACAAATTACCGCTTGAGTAGTCAAACAATTTAATTGCATGCTCCTATTCACTGCTCAAGTGCACTAATTACTACTCGATCCTTGTACACAGTTAGCGAAGTGGCAAACATGAACAACTCAAGATTACAAACTCCTCCACATAGGCACAATTCAAGTTGGATTCAACCGAAATAAAAGAGTGAATAAAATTATAACTGAAAAGAATTTTGTCAAACGAGATTGCTAATTATAAAAACCTAACAAATTTTAAGTGTAAAAATATTAATTTATTTTAAAACACTTAAAATTGCAGGGAAATAATGAGATTTTCAAAAAAATTGGAAGCAAAAGTAAAAATGACTAGGTTTTGACGGAAGGGGAAATAAAAATATAACTTTTAATAGGGTTAAAATGCTAAAATTTATTTCATAATAATGATAAAATTGATATTTTTCAAAGGACAATTGCATAATTTAGAGCTCATTTGGGAATTGGTTATTTTAGTTGGTTTTTTATTTTTTATTTTTTATGAAATTATGTACAAAACATAGAGAGAGTGATATAATTGGGTGTTTTGATTTTTTGACTATTTTAATCAAAGAGCATTGTTATTCGGGTTCAAAAATTAAACTTACTTTCTAGACCCAATGATGTGTCACTTTATTAAAACATCTAAGTCAAATCTTTTTCTCAATTATTCTCTAATCATCAACTACTCATCTTATTGACACATCACTGAGTCTAAAAAATAAATCTAAAAAATATATTTAAATATTATTTTTTAAAACTGAAAAGTCACATACCAAACAATCCCGTAGTGTGTTTTATTTTTATTTCTAGATCAACAATAAGCTCTTCCTAGTTATTTTTGTGTTTTCCTTACTAGTTAAGAAACTCTTTTCTTGGCGAGAGAACAAACAAAACTTCATTTCTTTCCATTTCAAAAAGTAGTAGAAAGTGCAACAAATGGGAAGAAAATAGATAATAATAAAAAAAAGAGATACTTTTAGGAACATGCAAAGGCAACTAGCTAGAAAAACCCAACTCATTATAAATTGATATGGACCTAGGATCACGCTATAATACACTGTTAAAGGGTTATGATCAAAAAAATCATTATTTATATTTTAAAAGGTTGTGTAATGTATGCTAATTATAATAGTATTGATTATCACAAATATTATAATTAAATTATTTTTAATCATAACTAAAAAATAATAATGAGTAATAATTAAACACCACATAAAATATAAATAAATTTTTTTTTAAAATTATAATCAAAATAATAATCATAAAAAATTATAATGAGTGATAAGTAATACCACAATTAGTTATAATCTAGTAAGAACTAACCCATATCAATATAAACATAAGTTATTTATCAAATACATATCAATTTTTAATTGAAATTATTTTGAAATTATGTTTTAAAAAATATAATTTTGATCAACAATTAAAAAAATAAATTTATAAAAAATCGATATAAGAGTGGAGGAGACAAGTGTGTTTGGAGATAAATTTTCAAAAAATTTCTTTTGGAGAGTTTAGAAATTTTTTTTGTTTGTTTGGTTATTTTGAAAATGGTTTTGTAGTTTGAAAGTTTGGGAAGATTTGATATTTTGTTGTAGTTGTGTAGATGTGTGTGAGAGAAGAAATAATTGAGAATCAGAGATGAGAGAGAAAAAAAAAGTGATTGATTGATGTGTAGGAGAGAGAAAGTGATTTTGAAAAAAAAAAAATTCAAAAAATTTAAACCAAACAAAATTTTAAAAATTTTTCTCAAAAATTATATCTTAAGATACAAACCAAACAAATTCAAATACAAGAAGAAGTTTGGCTTTACCTCCAGTCATTCTGACTGTAAGATATTTTTGGGTAAATTACAAATACACTCCTGAAGTTTGCTTAAAATACAAATTGTCCCTTGTGGTTTGAAAAATTACAAATACCCCTCTTTCAGAATTTTTTATTTAACAAAATTAATTGAAAAAATAAAATTTCTAACTGTTCACCTATACAGTAATAAAATTATCTAAATTTTTAATGAAAATTAAAATTTAACATTATTAAAAAATGTTAATTCATTTGATAATTTATTTTGAAATTAGATGCCTTAGGGGCATAATGTATTTTCTGGAACCACAAAGAGTAATTTGTAATTTAAATAAATATCCAGGGGTATAATTATAATTTATCGGATATTTTTTAGTAGACTTTCTTCTAGAACATTCAGCCACCCTTTTTGACCACTCATTGGGACCAAATATAAACAAAGATAAATTACAAATACACTTTTAAAGGTTTGCTTCAAATATAAATAATCATTTGTGATTTGAAAAATTATAAATATTTTTTGATTAGAATTTTTTATTTAATAAAATTAATTAAAAAAATAAAAGTAATAATTGCCCTCTTATAAAATAATAAAATTATCTAAATTATTTATTAAAATATATTTTTAACATCATTAAAAATTGTTGATTGATTTCATGATTTATTAATAATTGGACGATTTGTTATGAAATTAAAAAGCTCAGGGATGAAATGTAATTTTTAAAACCACACAAAATTATTCGTATTTTAATCAAATTTGAAGGGATGTATTTATAATTTACCGTATAAATAAAAATCTACCACCACGCGCATCTAATGGGCATGAGTTATTTGAATCTCACATTAATTTTGTTTTTTTAAAAAAACTTTTTCTTATACATTAGTTAGGGTAGACATGATTCGGATTGGTTTGAATTGAGATAAATCAAGACCAATCCATTAATTACGGTTTTTGAAAAATTGGAACCAATCTAATCCGTTTAAATTGTGAAACCAATCCGAATCAATCTATTTAAATATATTGAATCAGTTTAGGACTATAGATTGACATAATTAAATAATAAAAAAACTTTAAAATATTTTAATTTTATAAAAACATAAACATAGCATCAAGTAATAGAAGTTTTTTTTGACTTTTGTGAGAAAAAAAATGAAATGATTATAATTTTAATGTGACATTATGTCTTATTAGACTAAAAAATTTTAATGTAATATTATGTCTTATTAAACTAAAAAAATTATTTTATCTTTTTATGACAATTTTAATTAAAAAATTTCCGTTTAATATATGCCAAACGAGGATTAAATAAGATTGAAATAAAATAGAATGGAAAAAAGGTAATGTGTTGATGGTCACATGCGCTCTAAAACTAGTTGGGTGATTGGAGACACTTTCGGGCACCCAGACACGTACAACCCATATGTAGATGCGACAGCTACAAAGTAATTTAGCTATCTCTTGATGGCCAATTGTGTAATGACCTATCACGTATGATGATTAGTACTTGATTAGTTAAGAAGATTAGTACTTGATTAGTTAAGAAGATTTAAAATTTAATTATCGAGTATTATAATTTAATTCAGGATTTATGGGAATTGTAGGCCGGTCTGATTCATATATGATTCTATTAAAGAGTTATTTCGAAATTAGAAACTAAGGGTCCAAATGGCTTAAAGAAGTAAAATTGAGAAATTGAATCAATTTAACTTTAATTACGGACCCATTTGAGAGTTTAATTAAATATTCGATTCAGTTTAGTAAAATTGAGATTCGATTAATTAGGTCCTAATTGGAGTTGATTAAGTCATGAGGATTGAGAATTGTGGTTATTATAAATTAAATTTAATTATGATGTGTTCAATTTGAATATGTAATTTATTGATAGAAATTTGAGTCTGATCAAAAATTGAAGGCCTAAATAATTTGGAAAATCAAAATTGATAATGATAATAAATTTCATTTAATATTTGGAGCCTTTTAGGAGTGGATTAAAAATCTGATTCAGAAGGATAAATTTAAATATAATTAATTGGGTATTATGGAAGTCGAGTTAGACTAATTAAATCATGTAGGAATTGTAATTAGTTATGATTAATCAAGGCTAATTGATGTTTAATTAAATTAAAGTGTGATTAGTCTGTTAAGCTAATGAAACATGGATTCATATGATGTGGACAAGTGTCCCACTAAATTGATAAATAAAATAATAAAATAAAAGGATGAAGAATGGAGTCATAGAAGCTTTGTTTCTGCTGGAGACAAATTAGAGAGAGAGAGCACGGCTGAGATTAGAGAAAGAAAGACAGAGTGCACGGCTGAGAGACCAAGAAGAAGAAGATAAAGGAAAGGAGAAAGCCTTGTGGGACACCAAGATTTAAGTCAAAAATTGTGAAAAAATCATCCTAAGGTAAGAAATCTTATCCTCTGTCTACTATTGTTTAAATAATGTAGATATAAATTGATTTAAGGTGAATTTTGAGGGAATTAAAAATAAAGCTTTGTAGGTCAATTATAAATTGTTAAGATTTGGGTTTGCATGTGAAATCAAGTTAGGACAAAGAATATGAATTATGATTTCTTATATTTGTTTAACAAGTTAGGACAAAGAATATGAATTATGATTTCTTATATTTGTTTAACTTGGATCCAATTTCATATAAATAGGAGGAGTTAGCAAGATGATGAATAAACAAAGTTATGTTCAATTTATGGAAATTAATTTAGAAATTAATTATTTTGCATTCAATTTTTGTAATCTTGCATGAATTGGGTCTTATTTCTACATGCATGTAATTTGGAAGAATTAAATAATAAATATGGGTTTTGATCTTAATTATTAACCCATGCATGTAATGTAATCTAAGAGTTTGACTCAAATTAAACATATTTTGGAACATCTATGACTATGAATTAAATTGAGGTTAAAATAAATTGAGTTAAGCTTGAGATTAAGGAAATGAGTTTGGGAAAATTTTTCAAGTAAGTTTAATTTGTGTTATTCCTCATGAATTTGGACTTCATCTTTACATGCATCAATGAATCTTTAAGAAAGTTCGAGAATTAATTTCATGTTTGGGTATAAGGAGAGCAAGTTTTGAGAAATTATGAATTCATTGACATTTTGAACTTAATATTGAATTAAAGGAATTTTGGATGTAATTGGTTTGAATTTTGACCCAAATTTTACACATGCAAATATTTTCTAAGAGTTTTATAACTTTAATTTCATGTTTTAGATAATCCTCCATGCATCATGAATTAAGAAAATTATGGAATTAGTCTCATGGATTTTGTAAGAAATAAGGTTTTAAGTAAGGAATTGAGTGGACTCATAGTTGTGGAAATTAATTTGGAAAATTAATTATTTGATTTGATTTTGTAGTATTTTCCTGTAATATATGAATTTTAAAGGAATCGAGCCAGTCAAGTTCATATTTTGAAGAGACAAAGGAAATGTTTTAAGAAAATCAAGTTTATGGAAATTTGGAATTGATCCTAAAGTTTTGATTTTATAATTAGATTTTTTTTTATTTAATCTATGCATGTGATGTAATTTAAGAATTTTATTCAATTTAGATACATTTTAGAACAATTCTATTTAGATACATTTTAGAACACCCATGATTATAAATCAAGTATTTGGTCAAGAATTGAATTAAGTTGATTTTGTTATTAATAATAAGGTGGGATCTATTTGTATTACATACATCATGGAATTTCAAGACGTTGGGAAGTCTAATTTATATTTTAGAATTGTGGGTTGATATTAATAAGATGAATTAAAACTAAATTTGGGCAATTAGAACATGATTTTGAATGAATGTTTTCTAATTGAAAGTGTTTACTAACTCATACTATGGTTCTCCATTTTTGTGTACCAGAAATACATGTTTTGAGACTTTGAATACCAGATTTGAATTTAAATTGCAATTTTGGAATTTCAGAATTTGCGTTGTTCACTCGAGCGAGGAAAGTCTCGCTCGAGCGTGAAAATCGAGCTCCTAGAAGTTTTTCAAATTTTACAGTCCGCTCGAGCTGCCAAAGTGGCGCTCGAGCGGGGACCCATTTTCAGCATATTTTGGAAAGTTGCATTTAGTTCACATTTTTATTATCATCTCTTTCCAAGGCATTCTAGACATGATTTATGACTCAATAAAGATTAATAAGCTACCAATCAACATAGATTAGTTAGTGAAGAATGAATAATTGATCTAGTGGTAATTGTTTAAGAAGCCAAGTAAAATATCAATCTATTTGGAAAAGAAGGGCTTAGTAATGAAAGAATATGTGAAATAAGAACCCGGTTTATTTGAATGAGAAAGAATAAGCATAGTAGAACTTCGGACTGTTTAGACGGAAAAAGACTAGAAAAGTCAAGTTTGATCAAGGGAGTAATATTGTATTTCAATGTGTATGTGTTATGTGTTTGTGTAGGTCACGCGCCATTGTCTGCCTGATTTATCTGATATGTCCAATCCCTCTGATTTGCTTCTGCGGCTATCTGTGAGTAATAACTCTATAAAGTTATGTTTAACTTCAGTATTTTCTGACTGGTATGGTATGATCTGTTTTCTGAATTTTACGAATTATGAATGAATGTCCAATTTTTTGAAAAGTATTTGTGGCACCCTTAATTCACGTGGCCCTCGCCCGGGGGTAACAATACCGCGATCAATCTGCACGTGGCCCTTGCTTGGGGGTAACAATACTATGGCTACTTGCGCACAAGATATGGACCTTTATGGTCATTGGTACCAACTATGCATGTGGGTCTCTGGACCAAATTGATCTGATAGCTAATGGGTGTACCACGTATGATCTTATGCAAAGTCTGAATAAGAACATGAGTGTGTATCTGAATCTATTTCTGTTTGAAGTCTGAATATGTTCTGATTTAATTACTGGATCCTAATTTGTGCTGGACATCATTCATAAAACCTTTTTACTCTGTTATTATTCACTAGGCTCTAGCTCACTGTATTATTTATGTATGTAGGTAATCAGGCGCGCGACCAGGCTTAGAGGCATCTGCCTAGAATCTGTTTTTGTCAGCCAACCTATGTTCCTCCCGTGGAGGTTCCGGATATGTCAAGTGATTATGGCCATGTGATTTAAAGTTTAAGTTTTGTTTTCTTGTTTGGTTGAACAAGTCATGCGTATTTCGTAAATAGGGCTAAGTCCCTTTTTGTCTAATCTGTATATATATAATGACTTAAAGATGATGCGTATATATGTATATAAAAAGTTTAAAATTTTTCTGTCTCATATAAGTCTGCACAGCTCAATGGACATTGTATATTGTTATTTGCTTCCGCTAGCCCCTAATATTATGACAATCTGTCTCAGAGGCCTTCGGTAATCCCAGGATTACTGGCCGGTTACGATGCTAAACCTGTAGGGGCGGGTTTGGGTTGTGACAAATTTCCCGTGGATTTCAATTCTTCTAACAAATTTTTTGAGACACCCATTAAGGCCTTTACATGACCTTTCATTTTTCCTTTCACTTCCTTGGTTAGCAATTATTTGAGAAAAAGTGAGCGAGCGACCGTGGGCAATTGTTTAAGTGATCAGGGAAAGGATATTTAGGAATTAAGTTAAGTGAGATTTTTAGAGTTTGAGTTTATAAAAATATGTTGATGTGCATTAATCGCTATCTTATGAAAAAAAAAAAAAACAGAGAGAGAGCGACTCCGTTTGGGAAGAGCTAGATTGGGCTTTTTTGGCTATTTTAGCCACAAAAGACAAAATAGGCTATTTTAGTCACAAAAAACAAAACATCACATCCAACCCATAATCATTACACTCTTCTCTCACAAAAAAAAAAAAACCAAAAAGCCCTTCCCAAACCAAGCTTTTTAGCCCAAGCTAAAATAGTCAAAAAAATCAAAAAGTCAAAAAGCCAACCCACTTCCCAAACCAACCCAGAGAATGTTTTAAAATTTGTGAAAAAACAATTTTATAGTAAAAGGTGAAAACAAAAATCATAAATGTGTGAAATTTATCCTTGAAATAGTGCAATTGCCCACCATTCTCTTCCAATATATATCTTCTTGTGGGTGATGATTTCCAACCTCACAACCAAACATATCTCTTGATCGATATCTAGGAAACTTAGGTGGAGAGCACATGACAAAATAGATTAAGCGAACACATGCGCACAAGAGAGTAAGAAATACCGTGGTGGCTCGTCCACTTGGGGACACTCTGATGATCAAGTCAGTAACTTATCTCATAAGATATCAACTCAAGTAAAACAACTCTCAATTAAAGCGTCCTTAGACCTACAGGGGTGCTTTCACTACAAGAATTTACACATTTAGCAACTAAATTTGGAGACCAAAATAAAATTAGTCGCCAAAAGAGACAGTTTTGCTGACTAAAAATAAAATTAGTTAGTGATGACTCAAGTTTCAGCTACTATATGATTTTAGTTGAGATATCTTATTTATTGGCGACTAAAGAAAATATTTAGTCACTAAATATTCACTGATAGGCGACTAAAAAACTATTAGTCGGCGATTGTCTAAACTTTGGGCTACTAAAGATTTAATTTGGTCGGAAAATATAATTATTTGCTGACAAAATAAAGTTTAGTCGCCAAACAGTTAGCAAAATTTTTTTTAATTCTTTTTGCCGACCAAATAATTTGGTCGCCAAATATGAGGTTTTGGTGACTAAAAAAATTTAATCGTCATATAATAACTCTTTGCCGACCAAAAAAAAAATAGTAGCAAAATGGTATCTATTGGCTACAAAATGTTTTTTGGTCACTAAAGCTTGAATTTTTTTTTTAAGAGGCAAACGAATTAATTTTGGCACCTGTGTCTCCTCTCTACACTTACACAGTTTGCTCTATGTTTTGTGTCATACACACAGAGAATAGAGTCTACACCAAACCTCACCCCCGCTCACCACTGACGATCACCACCGTCGCGCACCACTGTCGCTCGCCAGCGTCGCATGGCACCCCCGCCACCGCCGCAAATCACCTCCCCCACTGGCGGCGAATCATAGGTCTCTCTCTCTCTCTCTCTCTCTCTCTCTCTCTCTGGGTGTCTATCCCTCTTTGTCGATCTCGGTCTCTCTCTCTCTCTCGCTTAATCTATTTCCCCATTTCTCACACAATACTCTGGGGTTTGATATATTTTTTTAGTTTAATTTTGCGTTGATTTCTGAAATTGGTTTGGTTCAAAACATGTTTGTTTTCTTCAATTTTAAGGGTTTGATGGCCAAAATAGTTAGCCCTAATCCATTTTCGAATTGGGTTCAACTGGTTTTTTGGGTTTAACTGGTTTGAATTCTGAAATTGGTTTGTAATTTCTAAAATTAGGTTCAACTGGTTTGATTTCCCCCTCATTTTCCTTTCTCTCTTATTAGTTTGAAAGCCCTAATCCATTGTTGTGTATTTATTTGCATGTATGGCTGGTAATATACGATTTTATGTTTATTGACCATGGCTGAATATTTGAATTGGAATTTGATGGTATGATGCTGCCCTAATCCTTGATTCTATGTTTATTTCCTTTTTTTTTTTTCCTTTTCTTTTCTTATGTGGTGTTTTGTTCTTGGAAAATTCTAAATGGGTGTGTATCATATATTACAACTTGTATAGTCTTTGGTTATGACATTAGAGTGTTGGTTATGATTTCCTTATAAACATTATGCCACTAGTTTTTTTTTTTTTTTTTTTTATCTGCTAAAAAAGAACATTATTGATAAATCGCGAAATACATCATACAAGGATTACATTAATAAAAAGAAGGAAGGTGAGAGTGCAAGAAGTATCATAATTAACACATCCATCTTAATTATGGTGGCACCAACATACAAATTCAATCATATGCTAACATCACACCAGGATTGATGAGAAACCAAAAATCAAAATCAAAATAACAACAACCACTCTGGCTGCCCTGTTTTCAGCCGCACAAACCAGAGCAAAAAATAGCTAATCTTGACAGCAGCCACCCAATAACATAAGCATATCAAAAAGGTCTTCCACCAAAGCAGACTTCATTTGCCTTAGGTTACAAAGTCATTTACTGAAAAATGTGCCATCTTATTAGAAGACTTAAACCAAAGAGCAACTCTAATGTTGACAAGTTCACATACTTCATTAAAACTGGGATTGCAACCATTAAATACACACTTATTTCTGTGCTTTCAAATGGACCGAAGTATTGCAAGGGATATGGCTCACTAGATTTTCCTTTCAACTTTTCTCAAATTGTCACTAGCCCACCACTGAAGTAATTTATGGTATTAGTTATGACTCATTGTGATATTTGTTCTGATATTATTTTAGTTATAATCCAAGAGCTCTTTAGTTATATTTTATATGATGTTTGGTTATAATTCTTTTTTTTTTCTTTTTTCTTTCGTAGTTATGACTCATATAAGATTGAGTTATGACATTTATGGTAATCAACTTCACAAATATCATAAGCTAGTACAAACACTCAATTATTAAAAAAAAACTAAACAAATATCATAACTCACATTTTGTACACACCTTTTTGAGGGTATGTACCATAGCATTACCCTTGGTTATGACTCGTTATTATTTTTTAATTATGATTGAAAAAAAATTGTGTAACACCCTGGAAATTCACACTATAATGGACAATAATAACATGATGTCATTAAATCCCAAAAGGTCATCTTTCTCATTGAACTAATAATCAATTGTTTACACTTTAATAAATACATTCCCATAATATTTCAATTTCCCTTTTCAGTTCAATGAACTAGATGACTTAACATAATATAAGCCCCTTAGGTGTACAACATCACAAAATACATATAGTAATTCTGTTACAAAATCCCAAATTTAAAGGAAAACAACCAAAATGCTTCTGACTTCAACTTTTCCCAAAAAGAAAGTGGAGCTAATGCTTGAACCAATCCTTCAATGAGGCTGAACTTCATCAATTCTTGAAAAATAAATTAGGGTTGAGCTATATGCCCAATAGGAATACATTTATCCAGGTATCTAATCCTTTGAACAAGTTTATGGTATTTATGTGATAAAATGATACAATAAAATTCATCTTCACAGATAATCATCAACAATTCCGAATGAACCGAATAATATAACATGGCCAATTACAATTCATGTCATCATATAAAACAATTAAACATCCACAACCATGGAAATCATGTCACACATTCACCTACATGAGTCCAATAGAGAACAACCCTTACTTTCACTTCTGGAAAACAACCCCCACATTTGCTGGCTATTATACGACGGGACGTGGACACCCTAAAGAAAACCATCCATTTTTCAACTTTCGCCAGCTATTATACGGCGGGACTGTGTGGACACCCCAAAACATTTTTCCACATTCGTCCAGAGATAAGCCTAGACAAGGCATTTGGGCACCTTTTTAGACTCCCCGCGCGGGTACTAACTCAACACCACATTTACCCAAAACCGACTCACACATTGGACTCATGGATGCTCAGCAATTAATTCACATTCTAATCCCAAAATCAAACATCAAACATTACTATATATGAACATCGCACAAGACTCAAAGAACAATAGCATACAAGCTATAATTCCTTTAATTATATCAATATCCACATTTCCCATCTCTCAATCAAAAGAAATTCCATTGAGTTTTGTATCTTCTACTCAACTTGGAAACTTAGGGTTTCACCTAATTTGGGGGTTTCTATTCTTTATCACCAATCTAGATTTTAACCACATTTATATTCATATTTTAAAGAAGGAATGGAGAGATTTCAAACAAAATATTAAGCAAGTGAGTAAACATGTGAAATGAGGGTTTAATCCAACAAAATCTTCAATTAGTTCACAAATCACACACAATACCATGAAATCTCCCAATTGATTTACAAATCACATACAATACCTTGAAATCTCTTCAAAAATGCGGACATGCAAGGATGAAAGTGCCCCTACCTCAACTATCAAGCCCAAAATCCAAGCTTCTTCATGAATCTATCGCAAACCCACAATCCAATCAGTAGGTAATGATAATCTTCCAGTGTTCTTTGCCTCTA